CCCACCAATCCCGTCCCGCCGCCCCGCCTGTTCCGGCCAATCACGGGGAGGAGCTTGGGGCAGGGCCCGCCCGAAGCCACGCCCCCGGCCGCAGTGGGGCTGAGGGGGCCGGGGGAGGGCTGAGGTACGTCCCCTTCCTTCTCCCTGTCCAGCGCCTCTGGAATTGCTTGTTTCCAACCACTGCCTCTCTTCCTTGCATAGCAGCAACAGGAGTGATTGGATAAATCCTCTTGAGGATTGCGATTAACACAGAAGGAAACCCCTGAGTAGGAACGGCCACCCGAGGTGTTGACAGCAGCTCCCGTTCCGAAGAGGAAGGCAGCCTGTCCAGACCGGGCACAGAGGCTGCAAATACACTTCGGATTTTTTTATTTTTTTTTAAATTTTTTTTTGCTGCGTCGCATAGTCCCGACAGATTGGTTCAAGGTCTGCCGTATTTCCTGTATCAGGAAGGTTTCGACTGAAAGATGAGATTCCTTTGCAGTGGCATTATGGGCCACTAAAGGAAAAGGCCGGTGACATTAATCCCACAGATTTAATTAATTTCATCATCCCACTGATGAAACACTTTCTAAAAGCTAATCAAGCTGTGAGGTATATACATGGTAGAGGAGGGTGTTTCTATTTGAAATCAGTCCGTATCTGAAGAGTAGGTCCGATGAATTTATTGGAGAACGCAGAATGGCAAAGGCATTTCTGTGACCAGATCTAAAATGAAACATTCACTCCTCATTATGTACACTGTGTTAAACCTGACAGTCCTTGGTGAGAAAGCTCTTCCCCATGTAAAATAAGCAGGATGTAATGGACTGTGGGCATCTGACACTCATTTCCTATTACTCTACAGCTACTTCTGTTCAGTCTTGCATTGCATGCATGTGATTTTATGTAATGAAAGACTCATTACAACTTTAAGCTTTTTGAGGTAGGGTCTGGTTATTATATATGGCATTCACTTTGTGAATCCTCGTGTGTTTCCCTGGCATTATTTACATAATATGATCAGTTTTAAAACTGCTTTTGTCAGTGAAAGCTTTGACAAACACTAGAGAGGGAGTTGCATGGCTCAGTGAATCACCATGAGGAGGGCGAACAGTACAGCAGAATCTTAATAGTGCATTAAAAGCCATTTAAAATTCAGATTCACAGTGTTTCCCAAGAAGGAGAGAGCACGGCTGTTTGCAACTCTTAATGTGCACAGCTTTTTTCCCTGATGCTGTGAACTGTGTGTGCTTTTTGAGCATAAATGCTCAGTGGTAAGCACAGAGGAGCATTTTTTAGCTGAAGAAAACAACACCACCCTGAAGCATCTCAAGTGTTGGAGCATATTGCCTGTCCATCTTTATTAGTACACCACCCTGTGTTAAGCAGCTGTGGTTTTATTTTTGCATGATCATGTATGACAGGTTTCACTGTGTTCACTGTTACTAAGTTATATTAGTAACTTAAGGCCAAACAAACACCATTAACTCAAAGATAACCACCAGTACTGTAACTTTTATTTGCTAATAAATATCTTAATAAACAGGCTTACCCCATCTGTAAGACCTGATAATGCCTCTTAGGAAATCATAGAAAAATAAAATACAATAATAATCAATAACTTGTACTTTGTACAAAAATCTCATTATGTTGCTCAGCAGGTAGTTTTGCCAAACCCCATATTCTTTCTGCAAAGAGATGGCATATGTGATGCAACTCACCTTAAAAACACTCTAATGTTGAGAGCTGAGCATTCTATTACACTATTAACTTGTAGGCATGCCAGCACATGAAAATTTACATGAAACATCATAGTATCATAGGAATAGAATCATAATAATAAAGAAAAGAAGATAACACCACTTTTCAGTAAATAATAACAACTTCACGTCTAATGTAAATTCCCTTTGGGACTGCAAATCAGTAGGATAAGCTTTTTATTCCATGGATATTCCTACAGTACCGTTATAAACAGGCAAAACCAAAATGCAGTGGGACGTGTATGGGAGATATATTAGGTGAAGAAAAGTAATTCTGAGGAGTGAGGCAGTCCCAGGGGGAAGCATCGACACTGGCTGTGCAATGTTCAGTCTCCCAGAACGAGCGGCTCCAGTGCCACGCGAGCTCAGACCGATGGAGGTGGAACCCAGAGCCTCTGGTACTGCAGCACCAGGGCAGCTCTGCTGGGAGATCGCTGCTGAAGACTGAGCCACAGGTAGTTGTCATTATTCAAACATGCCTTGGTTAAAGAAGCAATGGCAAAACAAACCTTAGCAGGGGTCTTTAAAGAAAAGGTGGGTTTCAGACTACTGGTAAGGATATGAGATCTGTGCTGAGGCCATGGTTTCATTTTGTAAAATAATTTGCGAGTATTATGATTATACCATTGCTTTTGAAGCCATCTACCTCTGAAGTTTTGACATGGCTGCTTAAATATATAATCTAAAGTGTCTGTCATCAAATATTTATTCATATATACACATACATTGATACATTTTATGGCTATGCTAGAACAGCAAACTATGAAGAGCAGTCATATTTAGTTTTGTACAATCTAATTTCACAGAAGAGACAGAGATTAAAACCCCTTTTAATTCAGATACATTTAAAACCAACACACAGAAATAGATAGAGGCTATCCTGAGAAAACATACCAACCACATTATCTTCCAAAAGTAAATCAAAGCTAATGTTTGGAAGGTAGTAAAATATTTGTTTTGTATTTTTTTTCTGAAAGTTGAAGTAGTTTTTTTTTTAAAAAAAAAGTGATGACAAAATTCAACCTGTTAATTCCAACTAGATCAATGAATGTTGCTTTGCTAGAAAATAAGCTATTGCCTTTCAGTAAACCGGGTTTCACATGATATTCTACAGATTTTTTTTTTTTCTTGCTAAACTGCAGGTGCAATCCTGAGAAGTGCAAAGAAGTTCCCAAAGTCAGTAGGATTTATACCACACCAGAGAAGAATGAGCCCTTTTTACATCTCTGGCTTTTCAGTCACGGCAGTGCTGTATGTGATGTAACTGATACCACCAGAGAGTGTTGATATTGGCCTCAAGAGCAGCAGATGGAAGGCTCTAGGTAAGAGCAACAAACACTGAATCCCATCACCAGAGTGAACAAAGAAACAGCTTTTCCTACTTTTAGTGTGAAATAGACCTCTCAACCTTAGAGAAGTTGGGAGAAGAAATTTCTGCAGAAGAAATGGTAGTAAAAATGCTACACTGCCAATTCAAAGCTCACTGTTTCTTGGGGAGAGGCAGATAGAGAATCATGTCCATGAAGCTGTAAAATGCTTACAGGTTTCATTATTAGGAATCTTGGAGTGGGATGGTTTTCTTCAGATAGGGAATTAGTGAAAGAATCAATAAATGGAACCACTAAGAGGGCATTTGTTATTTTGTTTGCTATTGTGCCATTCATTAACTGGCAAATCTGAAAACTTAGACTGCAGTGCACCAGAAGTATGAAGCAGCTTGTTCAAAGAGGCAAATCATCAGCCAGAACTTGTATTGCATCCTGATTTATGCTTAGGAAAGAAGAAAGATAGAAAAGTCCTATTTGTTTTGGAGGTTCTGTTTGTTTGATGGGGCTGGTGAATTTAAATCCAGAAGTTCGGGAAATTATCTGGGGGAAAAAACCCCACAAACCCAGACCATTTCTGCCAGCTACCCTATGAGATGTGTAGGTCATTTAGGTTACTAATTCCAAAGTCAGAGTTGACCTCCCATTCCAGAGAAAACAACAAACATGGCAGCACCCAACTTTTGTACCTTGTATTTTACCATGTTGAAGGTAACCACAGCCTACTTGACCACATCCCTGAGGTAGCAGCCTTGTCTTTTAGGCTCAGTGCACTCTCCCTATCAAATGAGACTATCTGTTTCAGGAAAGTCTGTAGAAACCTTTGATTTAAAATGTGTTTCACTCACTTGACCTCTTCTTATGGATACAACTGACTTTGGATCATGCCCTGAGGGACTAACCTACATCTCAACCTGAAATGCTTCAACAGAGCAATTAAAACCAGCAAAAACTTTTAGCAATCATTTGAACAACAAGACAGCTTGTGTCCCAGTAAGTGGTGGTTCTCTAACAACAAATGAAGCATAACAGTAGTGGGATGCAGGAAAGGAAAGTCTGATTGCAGAGCTGGAGCCTACCTACAGAGTATACAGACATTGGGCTTCATCCCACTGCCATGGAAGTCAGTAACAAACACTGAGGAACTTAGATCACAGCAAAACTATTGCCTGTTGACACAGAAACTTTTAATTCCTCACAGTCACATCACTCTCCCAGGAATTAATCAAGATGTTCATTAAATCATTCAGCAGGATTTGGAAATACCGGGTGTTTTAGGGCAGAACTTACCCAAGACAAAAATAGAACTTCCCAAATTGACAATTTGTGACTAAAATAATCTACAGATTTGGAACACTGGCTGCACTTTGTTTTTTTCAGCCAATCCTATTGTACACACAGAGACTGTGATGGTAAATTATACACCTTAGACCACCCAGCTTCTTAAAGAAAAAAAAAAAAAAATCCTATTATGCTTTTCCTTTTTCCTCTCAATAATTTTCAGTCAAAGACCATTCTGAATGAGAGAAAACTGAAAACTCAGTTTCTAAGCCAGTATTAACTGGAGGCTTCTACATTTTATTATTTATTTAGGTTCCTCTCAAGAAAGTCAGTATATAGCTATAAGAACAATTAGTAATTCAGATTTTTTTTTTTTCTGCTGGACTTTCCAGTATAAATTATGACAACTGTACCTTTTTTTTCTTTGTCTTGCATTGGATCCTGAAAGATCAGAAAATAGATCTTTTTTAAAAAAAATCTTCCTGTCACTCAGAGCATGATGTGGTGATGATACTATGAAAATAGTCCCTAGACTGTTTCCTTGGGCACTTTTTTCATCATCCACAACCAGAAATGAGTACTTGGGTTCCAAAGCAGGTTTCTCCAAAACCTGATTTTCCAGATTCTAGATTCAAGGTTACTTTCTCCAGAGTCCCTTGACATCCCATAGTTCAGAATGCAGAGATCTGGATTTCTCTTTGCTTTGTGGATTTTCAGTCTCAGGGTTTTGGCTTACCTACCACTCAACATACGTGCTGCTGCTGACCAGCTCTTTACTGAAGTGTCAGAAATGAAGATAATAAGGCAATAATAAGGCAAAATATGTTATCTCATGCTGTATGACAGATATTTTATAGGAATTTTAATTTTTGATTATACCTAACTCTAGTCCCATTTCAAATCAGCCTTTTTATATGAATTAAGCTGCACAGACTCAGAACTGTTTACAGATTCAGGAGTTTCTGAGGCTTCACCGAGATGTGTGCAGAACTAGTTAAAGTTCTGATAGATACCGGTAAAAATTTTGGGCAGGAACAAAGTAGAACAGATGTGAAAACTTTAATTACTTTGAGACTGATCTTTTTAATTCTATTGTTTCCCCATATCTTCACTTCACTGTCAGAACTTGCATTTTTTATTGCAGTTTAATTATTCAGGTATGAAAATATCAGATAATATGCTAAACCTTTCTGGAAGAGATAGGTACTTGGGAAATCTCTTCTTCCAGGAAAGGAAAGTAAGATACACTCCTGCAGGATATTTAAAGAAATAGACACACAAAATAGATTTCACTGAACTCTTGTTACATTATTTCACATATAAAATATGGAAATATAGTTTAATCCATTTTTTAATCTTATGTTTTTCGTCAACCATTGTTGTTAGTTTTCCCTTCTAAAATTCAGCATATCTTTTTATACTATATGTTGGCATATTCCTTACCCATATTCCATTGAAAATTTCTCATTTTAACCTCCTAGTTGTCTATAAATGGCCATTTAAAAGAAAATAATTTATATATTCTGTCAACATCTTTGGTGATTTCAGCAGAGGAACTGAAAACTCTTTATAGCACGGATTCCATCTTCCTAGTTCTGCTGGCTCATGGGCACCTTGCTTCCCTGTTGGGATCTCTAATTTCTACACTAACTAGATGAATGCAAGAGAATTAGCAGGAAGGGGTTGGGTGAGGTGGCAGCAGAGGGGTGAGCAGGCAGCTTTCTCCGAGCCAGTTTGAAAATGTTTTTTTTTACCAGTGCAGGAAAAGAGAGGCTGTCTATTTCCAGCTAACAAGCCAAGGAATTTTGGGAAGAATTATACACACACAGTACATGCCACTAAGAATTTTAAAAGCCTATGGAGCAAATAAACCCCATTGGTAGTTGGTAATAGGTAATCAATTCTGTAGGTTTGAAAAATCTGATATTATGATATACATTCTATTTACAATTCTTTATGTACATATAGACATAAATTTTATAACCACCACATGTTCACCATATCCTGGTCCATAATCTGAGGAATTGCATACAACACTCATGGATGAACAGTGTGCACTGCTAAATGCAGGATGTGATGGGGGAAAATTTTGTCAGCTGCAAGTACCTGGCACTGTCTTATGCAACTCGGGTTTTTGTCAGAGCTCCTTGGCACAGTATGGACAGTTCTTCCCTTTTTACATTATTGTAGGTTTTAGGGAGGTTTTTTTTTTCCTTTTCAGAGCTGATTCATTTGTCTCCCCAGGAGATTTCAAGATCATTGTCCTACTAAGAGTTAGCCCAGCCCAACACATCTTTCCCTCACTCTGAAAAAATAATTATAGTACAATTATATAAAAAAAAATTATCTTTGTCATTTATTCAGGAAAGATTCATTACAATTGGTGAACAAGAGTATTCTGGAAGAAAACTGTTTAACGAAACACAGAGTTCTTCAACCATGTGCAAATGCCACAAGAGTCTCTACCTTTAGCACTTTTCCTGGAAGATGCAATGGAAGACAGACTTTTTAAAATTATTTTAACTCAAGAAATGTTGGACTGGATTAGAGGCAAGTCCTGCTTTCCACTCTCTGAATGAATATTCCAAGACAGAGTAAGCCCATGGCAGGGTAGTTACGGGTGCCCTTGTTCCTAAGAGAATTCTGAGCTGCCTGAATGTGTCCCATAGAACCACTCCATCAGCTGAGGTAAAACAGTTCAATAAATTCTGCAGTTTATAACAGGGCCAGCTGGAAATGAGGGACTGCTCTTCAATACAAGGTCAAGAATGCTCTGTGCTGCTTTACCTTGGTAGCTGATGTGGTCCCATGGGGTCATTCTGACATGGAAATTGCTCTGGGTAATGCAGTCTCACTAGGTACCTCCATAGTCCCAGCTATTCCTCATGGTAAATCTCATCTGATTCTGGATAAAGGGGGTCTGTTTGTTACTTATGACCCAACTTTGGATCCTGTAGGAATATGCACTGAAAAATAAATTAATGAAGCCCTGTGTAAGGCTCATGATATAAAAAATGGCAAATAGATAGTCAGTCTTAAGTGATGTAAGAATCAAAGTACTGCAGTTTATGAGTTCTGTGTCAGAATAATACAAGTATTGCCTAATACAATACTGGGCACAGAATGTTTGTCCAGAACAACTAATTTATTTGAAGTTATTGTTGAGTGCACTATTTGCAAGTAAAGGATTGCTTTTTGCTCTCTGATGTCCTGAAGCATGGCATGTTTCTAAGCTTTTATTGGACAGACACTGGCTTTAAGTACATGAGAAACAAAAAGGGTGAATTTTGTTCGAGAAAAATTTAAATGACGTGGCTCAATTCTCTTCTTTTCACCTCATGGAATCTCATTGTTTCTCAGTAATTCCCATGTCCAAACACCTCATGAGTAAATTCTGCTAAACCTCCTGCTGTGCCTTGTTCAGTTTTAACACCATGAACATCATGAACAAGACCCTCTCTGTTTCACAGGTTCAGCAAAATGACTGGATACAAATAAGACATGAGATTCATCTGACCAAGCACAGATGCCGGAATGGATGAGCTATCACTGAATGCAGAGAACCAGGTAAGAATTTCTTTATGACATTCACATTATAACACCTTTTTTTTTGTTGTTGCTTGCATATCACACACACTTAATTTTGTGAACTTTCAGTGGGTACTTTTAGTCATAAAGCACTCTGTAATGTGGGCCAGATTCTCAAAAACAGCCTATTAAATTTGCTTAAATTTGTCAAACTCCAGCAGCACACTGTAATATGCAGGATAATTAGAGCTGATTTTCTCCTGAAGAAAGAATTTCCTGTGATAAAGAAAGTTACTCTAATTTCACAAATACACAAATACATTTGTGGCCTGTACAGAAGTAAGCTCACATGTGAAAAAAAAACCTGTTAGGGTTTTTTTTTTTGTTTTGTTTTTAAATTAAAAATATGAAAAAATCCCCAAACTAAAGCAAGAATAGACTAGGAATCAGCACAAGAGCAAGTAAAACATTTCAAAAAATGGGAAAATATAAATTTCATCAAGATAACTATTAAGTGTCATACTGCACCACAACAACAGAAAAACAAGCTGTATAAACCCACAAAATCCTGGATTTACAATGTTATTAACAAATGTGCTCAGAGAATCCCTTGTTCTTTCCTTTCTGGTTACCAACACTCTTGAATATATAAAAAATATATCTGATTAATAAATGTTTTACTTTTGCTATACTCTTTTCTATTGAAAAAATATTTTCAGTAGTGTGATAAATTTAGAAATTAATTTTCATGAAATATATCCAGGTTGTGTGCATGTAACAATGTCAATTCTGCATCCTCACTAGCAGGAACAAAAAAACTGGCAAAAGACAATCTAAAAGTGCACATACATGGTTTGGGTCAGCTATGAATGACTTTGAAACCCCATTAACAAATAACAGACTCATACCTCCTCAGTAATGGATTTAATTGTGAGAAAGGCTCGTTCTGCAGATGTCCTGCTGTTGGCCATGGAAGTAACCATAGGCAAAACAGATAATAAAATGATGAAGCATAATCCATTTTTATTATTTTAAATTACTCTGTGGTGTGTTAGTAATTTTAGAAAAGGCTTCAGGTAAGTATGGTTTCCTTTCTGTAACAGCACCTCCACCAAAAAAATTATTCAGATGTGGAATTTAGGCAGAATTTTTCAAGTGACAGTCACAGAAAAGAACAAATGTTTTTTTTCCTCACTGAAGGGCTGTGATCTTGTAAAACTCAAGTCTTTACTAGACTTATAGACTGATGAGTTCATTTGGAATGGTCCTGCTGACAAAATTACCTTTGGAGCTACAATAGGACTGAAGCTACCCTTCTTCAAACAAGCTCATCAAATTGTCATTGTAGAACACCAGTGACTCCTGATCTTTAGATAACTTACTCCTCAGTTACATCTGCCCTTTTTTTTTTTAAGGAGAGAAAGATTTACTTAGTGTGTTAGTGTTATCTCACCAAAATTAATGCAGTTATTCCAACATAAATTGACAACAGTGAATCAGGCCTCATGTGTCTTACTCTGTGATCTGGTTGGAAGCATAATCTTTTCTGAGTTGCTTTCTGATTTTCATTCCTTGTCACTCATATGCAATGGCAGCCTTTTCTGAGACTTAGGAAATACCTTGTGATTTACAAACTGTAAATGAAGCGGTAAATACCATTATGATTACACAAAGCAGTTAGTTCCTTTTGATATACACATAGATTATACTTATTACCCAAATGCACGTTTTAACAGAAGAGCTGTAATGCTTGAGCATATTGGAATGCCACAGAACTCAAAAATACCCTCCAAGCGACACAGGCATGAAGAGAAGCGTCTGCACAGGGTTACGTGTGACATGCGCTGTAGATCTGCGTGGGGTTCCCAACGCACGCGGCCATGCGGTCCTGCCTCTGCTCCCAGGAGTGCATATCCCATGCAAAAGTTTGGAAAAATAGCCCAGCACGTCTGTGTCAGTTGTCTGAACAACACATGGAAGCTGGAAGTCTTAGAGAGGTACAAATATTATGTTAGGCCTTTGCTGACTTTTTCTCGCATGTAAATATGGCTATTGAAGGGTTCTAAAGGTAATACCTCGGGTGTCCTTTAGAGATCTGTGCTAAATGAAGATCTGGCCTGGAATGACCAGAGCTCCATTTCAGCAGAGTTTGCATTTCAATTTCTAAAAGCAGTTAGAAGTAGACTCAAGGCAACATGTTACCACACTGCTGTCCTGCATCTCCTTTTCTGCCCTCGTGCAAGATCACTGCATCCTGCAGCCCGTAACTTCCAGCAGCAGTGGGGCTGTACCGCTGCCCTCGGCTGGAGGAGAATATGGCCAGCCTGCTCCCACGGGAATGATCCCAACACCCCACCCGTGGCTGGCCCTCTGAGCTCTGCTGCTGCTGCTGCTGAACAGAGCTGACAACTGTGTTTTACATGTGGTCATGGGAATGATACAACCAGTTTTCCAGTAGTAGAAGCAAATGCTGAGTATTACATTAAAAAAAAACCAAGGGTTGTAGGGTGGTGAGGAATCCCAAGAATAAACAAGTTTTCCAACCTAATCTAAAATTTAAAGCATAAAAAGTGTCGAGTGCTAAAGTAATTGAAAATCATGAACCTTCCTTAAGATTTCAAACAGATTACTCTCACTATGCTTCCAATTATCCACACAATGAAAACTCTCTACATAAAATCATCAGTAATTTCTGCAAACAATACTAATGTTTTGAGGCACCAGCTTACCAGCATTCAAACTATTAGAAAGTAATATAATGATAGGACACATACATTTGGATTTAATTAAGAGATAAAATAAATATTTATGTTAAACTTCTTTTTGATTGCACATTTGGTGTTGGAAGTTACATGGTCACAGAACATGAAAGAAGTCAAATACTTTTTGATCTACCAGCAAATTCTAAATACATCGATAAAGAAGCCACACCAGGCCAAATAGATTACTGCTTTCAAGTCAGTCTATGAAAGTTTCCCAAATACTGTTATACAAAGTTACACATCCATGCTGAGTTATTCATCAATGTGTAGCAAGAGTCTTGCAGTAGGCCAGGATTTTATTGGCAGAGAACTGGTGAAGGAGCTGTGCAGTGTGATTAAAAATTCCGGTTTGGAAGCATTAACATAGAAGTACTTGTATAGTCTGAACTGGAGACTGCAGTTCTTGAAGTTGGGAAGAGCAGGAGGGAAGAATGAGAATATTTTTCCATTTTAGAAATGCTGAGGCACAAAACACAGTTGTTCTATTACTTTCATACATGAAATCCTTTCTCTTGTATGTGCATCATGTGTAACCGCAAAGTCTGTAAACTGCTGACTATTCGTCTCTGGTGTCCAATGAGTGCAACTCCAATTCTTCTAATGTCACTGCAAGATAAAAAGTTTCATCTTGGGTGCAAATATAATAAAGCCTCTGGTGCACAAAAGAATATAATTATATGATGACTTCTCCAGGACAGTTTACCTTCCTGGCCACAGCCTATAAGAAAGCTGAAAATTCAATTTTTCTGTATCTGTCAATTTCAATTTTTTAAAAAGCAGTAATTTAAGAAAAACAATGTAATAAAAAATGTATTTAGAGCACTGGGGCTTCCGATACTAATCAATTAGTATTAATCTTCAATTAATCTTTCCAAATCTCAAGGACTAATCAGAGAAGTGAGTTCTAATAGCCCATTTTTAGTAATGTGATTGTAGCAACTGTTTCCCACTCATACTTGAAAAGGATTGGGGCTTATACACTCAGTATTGCACTTCTGAGGCAGAAATAGAGGTTGAACTTCTGATGATTTGCAGAATGGTAGTGAGGTATGGAGAGATGGTCTAAAGATCAAATTAGCAGTGATTGTTCCAGACTGACCCTGATTTCCCTCCCAGTTCCCCTTCATCTCATCTAGCCCTGCACCCCAGAGTGGGCAGCTCTTGTCACTCACTGGGCTCGACTCTTTGGCAGGAATGAAGTCAACAGCCACCACAGTTCAGCACAATCCACCAGCTTAGTTTTCCTATAAACATGCCCAGCTGCAAGATCTGAGGAAGATCACAGAGGTGCTGAGGACTGGAAACTTCAGATATGCCAGGTTTGTCAATTATGCAAACCCCACACTGGGATATACACAGATATTGCCTGTTTATCCTTAAAAACTGTGATGATACAACCAGTAAAGGAGCTCATGGGATAAGGCATGGCCACCCTGCATTTCAGATGTGCAGTTTCAGATGTCTGCCTCTGGATCCTCCAGCTGAGGAACCACTGGGGAGCTTGCAACTACTACGTGCTTAGGCTTAACATTCTCACAGGGCACGACACACAGCACTTGAGGTCAGCAAAAATACTGAGCATCTGAGAAGCTAAAAGGAGTCAGTGTAAAGAATAAAGCTTTACAGTGGAGAGTGTTCTTAGAAATGCAAGACTGATGCTTAGCATTTATCAAGGAAGGCCTGATAAAGCACAGAAAGAAGCCATCAGGTCTTGTGCAACACAAATTATTTGAAGAGAGAGGGCATCTTTCAAAAAGTTGAAATGGTATCTAAACAAAGTAGAAAGGATGCTAATCTTAGATTAGCTGCAAAAGCACAGTAAGGCAGACTAGAAAGGAACTTGAGGAACAAACAGAAAAGAAAAAAACCCCTCCAACAAATTAAAAAAAAAAGTAACTTATAATAAATCTTTATGTAAACTCACTGGGTACAAGAAGCCTGCCATAAAATGTATAGAGTCTAATGATGATTTGAGCATAAAAGAGCACTGAAAGAGTGGCCATTGTTGGAAGACTTAACCATTTGAGTTGACATCTACTGTGGAAGAAATTGAAATGACTTCCATGCCAGATTCTTTCTGGGGGACTTGCCACTTCTGTCTGAAGTGACTGCAGGAGAGGTTATAGGACAAACTGAAAAACAAGCAACAACCCATGTCCAGACAAGATTATATTTAGGCAAATGTTTCAAAAGAAAGTGAAGATGGAATAAGGGATTTACTATCAGGGTTGTGAGAGGGGGAGTTACCAGCTGTGCTCTACATGTTAAAAGAATTTCTTGGTGCCTGTAGTATGGAGCCAGACAAAATGTTTCCAGGAAAGATCTGGGGAACCACAGACCCGTGAGTCTGTGATCATTACAGGGCATAAGAGAAACTACAGGAAAGTACAAAATTACTGGATGCTTGGATAAATTAGTTACTTGAGTCACCATGGCTTTTGCAAATAAAAGTTCTGCTTTATAGAATTGTTTCCAATGGATGGAGATGATCCATTTGATACACCTCACTTGGATTTCCAAAAGCTTTAGAGAAGATTCCTCACAAAAGCTTTATAAAGTAAATGAGGAGCAACTTCTGTGTAATACAGGGTGTAACATAATACATAGCATAATGTCGTCTTTGCATGACTAAATAACTGGTTTAAAGATAGGAGTTTGCAGTAAATTGTCAGTTTTACATTTACATTTACAGTGTAGTTATTGATATAAATCTACAGGGACCTCTGCTGGGATAATGTTGAACATTATTGTTCAACAAATCAGTAAAAGGTCTGGGAAAACAGATGAGCAAGAGGTGAAAAACTCAGCTGGTGAGGCTGAACTGTTCAAGGTAGGAAGAGAAAGGGGCAGCTGTGCAGAGTTTTGGAAGGATCTCCCAAGACTAAGTGACTATGCCATACTGCAGCAGATGGAATTCATTGTAGGTGAATATGAAGTGATGCACGTGGGAGAAAATCAGTCCTAATTTTACATGTAAAATTCCTCAATCTTAACTGACAGCTACCATTAATACAGGCAGTCCTAGTGTCAAATAAAAGATTGGGAATTCATGGGAAGGCAATAGAGAACAAAACAGAACCCATCCTCATGCTACCACATGAAAGCATAGTTTGCCCAAACACTTCTATATTGAGTGCAGGGTTTGCATTAAAAAAAACCAACAGGATGGTGTCAGAGATTGTTGGAACAACTTCCTTATCAGGATTGATAAGGACTTGATGATATTCATAGCAAACTAAGAAAATATTTTTGCCACTGATTTCAGTGGTCTAGATCAGAACTGATTCCCCCAGAAACATGCTCATCCCTGGCCTTTGGTTGTGTTTGGTATTCTCTCAGAGTGGATCAGTTCTAGGTCTATTCATCATACATTTCTCTTGTGTTGCTTTGGTAAATAACTGTATTTGTCCTTTGTTAGCTGAGGGAGGAAAGGAAATGAAAGCACTGTTCCATACTCCACAATATTTGTGTGTCTGCAGCCTCCAAATTCAGATTAATTAGTCATTGTAGGGGTAATAGATTATGTACTTACTCAATATTCATTCTTGAAACCATATCCAAAGTTGTGAAACCTGCTGCCATGAAGTTATTTTTATACTGACCCATTTTTATGGAATCCAGCCAGTCACTGACTGAAACAAACAAAGGATATTCTGGAACTTCACCAGGTGAATCTGGCATTCTGTAAACAAACAAAAAATAAAAATAAAAATAATAAATAAAAGCAAAGGTTACCAAGCAATAGAAAATATGACACCAAATTTACCCTGGTAGTCATAGCTTTTACTAAAAGGCAGAAGGAATGAGAGAGGAGTCAGAGCTGTAAAGGTCAGACCTTAATTGAGGATCTCTTTAACCTGTTGTCTAAAACTTATAAATCACATCAGTCTGCCAAGTTGCACTACTTAAACAATACATTTTATTAAAGAACTGCAGCTCAGTAACACACTGAGGAAAAGGCCTCTCCCAGTGCTCTTAGTTTTATTTCACAGAATGTTTTCTAGCAGATTGACGTGTTCAGGATTATAATAATTTGTTGATACAGTACTCAATGTAGAGGACAACAAAAAATTAGCACAAGATGCAATTAAAAAAATTAAACCACCATGAGATGATTTTTACATTTATCTACAACCACCCCCACCCCAGATTGCTCCTCACTGTGATACCATTATGCTACAGGAACACTTTGATTACAGTACTCAAAAGCTAAAACGCACCCTAAAAGAGGCAGAAAGAATAAAATGTGATATCTTTGCTTTTACATAGAATTACACAGAGTAGCAAACAAAATTGAAGGAGCTAATTTAGTCACGTATCTTTTTGAGCTCTTTCCCCTAATATTATCACAATTGAAACAGAAAGATGGGAAGAAAGGAAAAAAAAAAAAGATTGTAATTTTGGGGCATTGATTTCCAGTCTTCTGTTGTGTGCCACACTTGGGAGGGCTCACAACTTCCACTGGCTTTATGCATTTTGTGTAGAGAAACTGTATGAAGAAAATGCAGAAAATGCACACTGCTGTTTGTAAAAGTTTTATGGCAGTTTTTAGGAGAAAGACACAATTCATTGAAAATGAAAATTTAGACAGCAAAAGCCAACCAACATCTACTGATGGAACATGACTCAATGTGTAACGTAGGAAGCCACACAGCCTCATGTCTTAATGTACAAGTTTCACCCACACATATTCAAATGCAGTAAGAACAGTGATTTTAATTCATATTATCAAAATGATAGAGGGAGAAGCTGAAGGACAGGAGAACACTACTAAGTACAAACTGTAATTAAAGACCTACCATGGTCCTTTCCCATCTGAATTACTCTATGATTCTATAGAAGAAGGTTACCCAACAACTGCAACAAGCATTCTCAAATGAATGGAAAAACCTTTCCCAAGCAGGTGAAGTCAATCACAATTCAATAAAGCCTAAATTTTTTAGACCGTAAATTAAGATTTAAAATTAAAAGAGAGAAAAAACCCATTACTCTGATGCTAAATAAAATGATCCAGGTACAAACAGCAAGTCATATATATATATATTTATATGCATATACACATAGAGGACACTAACTCTAGGGAATTGATATTTAATCCCCCAAGTCTGCCCAGTCTGTGTTGATGAAATGGCTGTAGCCCTCACTCCAGGTTTTCCTACCAACTTCTCCATTCAGCCTTTCCCACAGCAAGGTACCAGCTAAATTTTGCCTCATTGCTCAGCCCTTCTCAAAAACATTTAAAGTTCTCAGCAAGCCCCACTAAGGGCTTGAGAGCCCCTTACAAGCCCAGGGCGTCTCCATGAAAACACCTTTATCTTAAGGTGACTCTCAGTGACTGAAGGGAGTGATGCCACCTGTACCTTTGCAGATGATATGCAGGGACAGCTTGGATCAGCAAGCCTACAAATACTGACAAATTCTTCCACTACAGCCTTGCTTATCCTATGGCTGTGTTCATTTTTGAAATTTTATTAATGAAAAAAACCAAGCAAACAACCTGAGCAACACTATCAAGAATTTGTTGTGGGATGGTAACAGCAAAATCTCTTATTTTGTCACTGCTGCCATTCTGCTGCAGACAAATAAAGATTTAGGAAGCTAAGACACAGCTACTTTCTGCAGGATATTACTCCAAGGCAGTTCAGAAATTGTTTGAACACTGTCAGATGGAGAGACAGGCTGTTGAATGAGAAAAAAATACAGAGAGAAAACAAGCACATAGGAAAAAAACACACACACACAAAAAAAGTGATTCACAAAGATTAAGGATAGATAGTGCACAAACAGAACACAGAGAAAAATAATAATAAAAAAGCCTAATATAACCTGCATGGTTTGAGGGAAAAACCTCCCTTGAACAACAGTGTATTGACAATAAAGTAAATGTAAAAGAGGCTCAAAATTATTTGAGCCTGCATGACATTATGAACTCAGAACTTTATGTGGTTTAGGGCATTAAGTAGGGGTGAGAGAACCACAATGACAGCCACTCTGTGTTATGAAAAAAATAAAATACCAAAAGGAGTCTTACACAAGTACATCCTCCACTAGGGTGTGAAGGGTGCTGGGATTGCGGATCAGCTTGTCCAGGAAGCTGACAATGTCACTGAACTTGGGACGGTGGTTCCTCTCCTTCTGCCAGCAGTGAAGCATGAGCTGGTGAAGAGAAGCTGGGCAGCCCATGGGAGCTGGAAGCCTGTAGCCCTCTTCAATGGACAGTATAACCTACAGATACACAATGGGTACAGTTACCAGGCGTTAAATGCTGAAAGGATGGTGTCAGACCAGGGATGATTAGTTATCAATAGCACAGCCACCCTCACTTCATTTGGGGAATCAGGACTGACAGGGGGTGTGACCAGTGGAGACAGGAAATATTTTGTAGGCATATTTTTAGGGTCACTGGTCATCCTCTTCAAACAGCTAAGAAAGCAGGAGGGGAATAAAACTCACCAATACCACCATCATTTTCATCCACTTCAGGGGGCCACAAACTCACCTGGTGTGGCCACTGCATCCCACCATGCTCTAATATTTGCATTCACAGTGTTTGTGTGTAGCAATACCCCAATGCAACCAAGAACCACAAATACACATTGTGGCACTTGACAAATGTACTTGGTATTCACGTGTTTCTGCTGATCATTAGAGTGTGATTAATTCTGGCAATGTCCCCCACACCAAGTTACAGCAATGTTGTTTTGCAAGTCTCCCTCAGAAACCTGGATGTCTGAGATGTTTATAACTAAACAAAAGTTCATAAAATTATGGTATTACCCTAAAGTGAGTGAGACCTTCAGGTTCAGCAGATACAGAAAAGGTGTTTGGTAAGGATTCAGAAAGAAACAAGTCTGCTGCCATAGATTAATTACATGTATGAAAAATTAGTTGGTCACAGTTGAAGGAGAGCTTATTTTTAGTAACATGGGTAGAAAAAAACATTGTTTGAAAAGAAGAGCAGCAGCCTGGCTTGATAGGAAGCAAAAGTAAGTAAGGTCCATGGAAAGCTTCATGGATTCATAACAACTTACATGGATTCATCCTATGTAGGATTTAAAAAAGACAAGGGAAGGTCCTGCAGTGAGTGGTGGTGACAGTGGGGATGATGTTACAAATTACAGAGTCAGGATTTTTTTTTTTGTTTAAAATTTAATGCAAAACTAATCAGTGATTGATCAGAAATGAAACTAGAAAAAAGTCCAGCCTTACCGCACGTGCATAACCCTCCCCCATAAAAATCCAGCCAGTGCTGGATTTCTAATGTTTTTTAATGTACAAAGGATTGCACACAATATTTACAGCCACACCGTGCACTTAGGAGGAACACACCTGCTGCATTGATACCCTCTGTGCTGCAAGGAGACATTTGTCATTTTCACACAGATGTACGGACATGCTGCCGACATATTAATGCAGCTGGAAGGGGTTACATTAAACTCTTTACAGCAAATCAATGTTTTACAGCACCAGCTCTGGCTTCAATATGTTCAATCTTTTTATCCTGGAATACATCCCTGTTCTCTATTTGAATTCTGAATTAATGCTGGCTCTGCTCAGCAATGCCTAATGCTTATGCTGCAAGCATTATGTAAATAAAATAAGAGTAATGAAGCTGTGTTAGGACCTGAGCTCCCCTTGATGGCATGGCAGGAAATGGAACAAGGCTTCTGTAGCTGCACACAGCTGCTTGTTCTATAAACACAGGTGACCTGGTCCTGTAATGTACCTGCTGCTGTTACAGGAGAAAATGCCACTATCACATTGCCAAGGAAATATTTCCCTCAGAACCTTGCCTCCCAGTGACAGAAATGCCCCTGTGGACTCAGGACGGGAAAAACTCAACCACGTGCATTGAATTTTATTCACATTTGTTTCTACATTTATTATTAATGTATCTCAAGCAGTTTGTCAGAAGTGGGTTCAGTAGACACTCATGACAGAGGGGCAGAGCTTAGTTGGTGCTGACCACTGATGAGGCCATCCTCAGCAGCCCAGAAATGCAGATACCGAAATTTTTACATTTAACTGTGCATGTTGCAAACATGGAATTTATGAAATGTATGAAATGTATTTTGTTTTTAAGGCAACAGGAATGCTGCTTGGCTTTTCAGAGACATACAGCATTTGCTCAACACAACAATAGAGGGCTGATGAGGTTTTGCTGAATGAATTTATTCAGGAAAAGCCTAAAAGCAACCATAATTTTCCAGATGTATTTTCTCTGCCACACTTTATTTTAACATACCTCTGAAAATGAAGTCACAGTGCATTTTGTTTCCTCTCTTGTTCAAAAGGAACATTTCAGTATGAAGAGAAATGCCAGCTGGTACTGGGATAATTATAATTTCTCATTAATACCAGCACATTTTAAAAATAAACTGGAAATATTGCCTCATTAGTATCCCTTGTGAGGCAAGTATTATTTTTAGAGTCTAAGAAGCAAGAGTAAAGATCTGATAAGTGTCTAATACTGCAATGGGAATCAAGTCTCAAAGGAAGAATTAGAGCATTTTAGTTCCTTATTTATTTATATATTTATTTTAGCTCTTGCTCTGCCACATGCATAGCACCCATCTCTCTCTGTTCAGAGAAATCAGATATCCATGTACCTAAAAGGGAAGAAGTATTAAGTTTTTCTTAGTAATATAAAATTCTATATTATAAAACATGTAAAGATTTTGCATGTAAACTCCTCTCAAATGCCTTTTCCTCTTGTCAGTTTAAGGCTGACAAAGCACCACATCAGTCATGAAATCTGCATCTACAGGAAGGATACAGCAACACCTTGTTTGATATTAGACATTGCTGTGAAGTTTGAATACTAACAGAGTTAAATATTGGTTATGATTGTCTGTATTTTAAGGACATCTACACAAAATTTATACATGTTCGATTTCAAAATAATTGGCAGTTGGCAAAAATGCCATCTGAAAATGAAGCTGTAATCTTCCTGATAGTTTCATTATTAACAGTAACAGAGATTCTTGCTTTCAAAAGTTAACTGACAGCTTTTTTAATGAGACTGAGACAGAAGAGAATCCAGAGGGACATTGTCCCTGTGTCCTCCTGACATCTGAAAAATCTACCAGGAGGGAGAGGCAGCTGCTCCTGCCTCATGGTACAGAGCCAATCCCAGGCACCTGCCAAGTGTTTTGATATCTGTGAGTTGAAAGAACTATATTAGGATAAGTAGGGTTTTTTTCAGTATTACAAAAAACTTTCAGGAGTGTAAGGAGTTTTATTCTGTTTGCTACAGTAGTTTCCCTGCATACCAATTAAACCCCATTAAATTTGCTTTTCATTATTTTTTTCCTTCTTTTTGAATACTGCAGCTCTGCAACAAGCATTAATTTATATGGTGGCCTCTAACAGGTGTCCCAGTAGACTTCACTCACAGCTGTTCTACAAACCAAATGCATGGAATATAAATCTTCCTTCCCTCACATGAGCATTAGCAAGCCAGACTCTTAGCACAATCTGTTCATCAGTACACTAGTTTCCTTGGAAAGTTCAATATCTTGGCTAATGTTTATTAATTAAGCAATAAGACACGACAGACTGTGCAGCAGCCCTAATTAATGGACACCTCTGGTGCCTGCCACACATCTAAGAAGTGCATTAATCAGCACCAACACAGTTTGGAAATGGCTTACCACAATAATAAAATGGTTATTTACTTAAACAAGAGCATTTCTCAAACTTAGCAACATTTTTAAGCCTCTGCATTATGCCATGTACGGTATTAATTTTATGAGAAGCATTTTTCAACTCGGTTTCCTTAAGTTCAGCTTCCAAATCCTTGCTGGGGAATATAAATAGAGGATGCTGGATTTGCAGAGGTGTTGAGTCATTCTGGATACCTGTGAGCAGCTGTTGGTCTCTGAACACCAGACTGGGTTCATTTAGGTGGCAGGTACCAGATTAAAACTTCTCCCATCAGCTGCCTTCATCACTTATTTAGCCACGGTCTAAAAAAGCATGTCTATTTCCCACAGTTGTATAATTAGAAAAGCAATTGGTAAGATGGAATGGGAAAAAAACCCCAAACCCACAAACCAGACCTGGCTCTGCAGAGAGTTTATACTTGGAAAACTTTTGGTGACCTACCAAAACCCACCCAATTCAACAAGTATGTAAATTGCTGTCTAGAGAAGAGTTTTATTACGATCCAAACTCAGTAAATGTTTTAATGGTAATATTAGCAGGAATTTTGATGTATCAGAACCTCTGTCTATACCCATGCAAGACCTTATTACATCTTGTTTGCAACCTGTGTCTTTTATTAATCTGTTTAGTGTATATCACTCTCTCTTGCTTTCCCTTCCATCTGTACAGTACCACTGGCTTTTGAAAATCCTATTATTTCTGAAAAATAAGCTCATGTGAATTCAGGACAATTTACTGTAGTAAAAGAACTGTCCCAATATCCTGTAAAATAGGATTTACATTATGTCTAATAACTGGAAATTTCCCAATGACACTTGAAGTCACTAAACATGCGTAAGAAGATCACAGGTGCTCACAGCTCACATGCTGCCACTGAAATCCTGTGGGTAGGAGAAAAGGAGTCCTTTGTGCTGGGAACTGCTGAACTGCAGGAAAAGCCCCCAGCAGTTGGCATCATTAGGGCCTGCAGCATCATTTTGTATTAACAGACACTTTTATTTTGGATGTAGGTGTAACTGAATATTGCTATCTACATGCTGTAGTTGGTTATTTAATATGTTCTAAATGGAGAGGTTTGTGGCAGTCTTTTTTAGTTTCTGAAGAGTTTGGTTGTTATTTTCCTTTTCTTCCTGAAACAGTGAAATTATTTTTTTAAATTAAAATCTCTCAGATCCTTATCCCCAAATGACCGATCAGCCTTAACAAGCAACCAGACTTGAAGAGCTGAATAACTTAGCAACAGTGTGATAAAAGCCATCTGGGAAAGTCTTGTCAATTCTTCAGAACCAATGCAGGAATATTCTAGGCACATACATGACAGAGGTTAAGGTGGCTTGGCTGATATTCCACATTTTGACATAGAGCTTGATGGCTGGTATGGAGACTGAGTGTACCAGTTTGAGCTGTCACAGGGATCCATCAAACAAGAGAATTTGTGAAAATTTAAATTGTGGTAGAGATAAAAACCCCTACCATTTCCCCTTTTCCTTCTTTTTCTAGAACAAGCTTTCAATTCTAGTAGAAGAAAATTGGTTTTTGTTTTTGTTTTTTTTTTTTTTAAATTGATGTTCCAGCCTAGAAAGGGAATGAGACAGCAAAGCAGGGCAGGAAGTGGCATTAACTTTTAAAGCACGTTTGAAAAAGTTGCGGATTAATCCTGGGCAGTACTCACATCCTGGTTGGACATCTCCCAGTAGGGCCTCTCTCCGTAGGACATCACCTCCCACATGACAATTCCGTAGCTCCACGCATCGCTGGCTGAGGAGAACTTGCGGTAAGCGATGGCTTCGGGAGCAGTCCACCTGATGGGGATCTTCCCACCCTGGAAACAGGTTGAACACTTGTCAAGATGATTAGGGTACAGAATAACACGTGTTTTAAAAGAAAAGGAAAAAAAAAACCCAAAAAACAAAACAGCCTGGGTTCTGAGATTCTACATTCTGACTTCCATCAATTTGCCTTTTCAATTTGCTGCAAGTGGGAAGGAAGAAATATGCCTTTTTTATTTGATTTCATACGTAGTCTAATTCACCAATACCTGCACTCTGTGAAAACAAGCCAGTTCAAAGAGCAGAAAACATTTGAGATGATTAATGTTTATTCAGTCATATAAATAATCAGAACATGCATTTTTATTGAAAACATCCCAAACCTTAAATTTCTAGTTCATTGACATTTAAGCTTTTTCCCCAAATGAAATAGAAACATCTATTGCAAAATGGAACACTAAAAGCTCTTAATAAAATTGTATAATCAGGAAAGAAACTATAAGTATTCTATGCATTTTCAAAGCATTGCATTTGATGATATCTTTTAATTTTTGCTGTACCCTTTAAATATCCAAGTAGAAAACAAATCAAGTGTGCTTCTAAATAGGCATTTCCTTAGGATATTAGACAGTGTCATTCTGCAGCCTACAACCTAAAATCCAAGCTTTGCCACCAAAAAAAAGTAAGAAATCAATCAACAAACCTAACTTACTGTTTACAAGACCACAGGGTGCAGAATTTTTCTCTGACATTACTACTTAACACCACTAGAATGCCTTCTATTCTCTCAAAAATAGCTTCTATATGAAAACTTACTTTTCCATCTCAGGGAAAAAAAAAAAAAAAAAAAAGGTATTTCCTCTCTAGGTACACTGCTCATTTCAGAAGTTTTTGGGTTTTTTTTCTTTTCGAGAGTGTACATTTATTATCATTCTCACTGATGAGAATGATCATCATTTCTTTGGAGAGAGAAAAGCAGTATAGTGAAGGTACCACTAGATGGTAGAAGGAGGCAGTCAGTAGAGCTGAGCTCACTCAGCAGTAGCTGCTTTCAACAAGCAGTAATAGAGTCTGCTCAGTGTTATAATTGTATTTCTGACTGAAACAAAAGAGGAAATGAACTAGAACATCCATTTGGCAATGAAGAGAGGCCACAGTTAAAAACAAGTATGTAAATCTCCGTTAATTTGCTTTGAATGCATAAAATATTGTCTGAGAGTTGTTGAGGCCTGACTTTGGCTGGTTGAGAAGCTGTTCTACCAATAAATTGTTCAAAATCCAGGCTATGTGTCTGTGGGGCTATGCCACCCAGCCAAGTTCTCCTTGCTGATGGAAAATACATGGTTAACATTTGTGTTATATGACAGTGGCCCAGATGTCCATACATTTTTTGCAGCTGCATTTTCAAAGCCTTTCCTTCCTCACATGTGGTAAATCACTTAGTGATTTAAGTACTAATAAGGTATTTTTTGTAATTTTGCCCAAGTACCTCCACTATCTGTCCTTTATTTATCCATTATCCTGGTGGTCAAATCACTCATCTGGCACATCAGAGATGCAAAAGATTTTGTGTCTCACCTGCTGCCACCTGCCCTCACCAGCACTGCAGTGTGTGATGCTCTTGGTCCCCTCCCAGTCCAGCTATTCCACTTAAGAAGCAATTGGAAATGCTTTTTGGGTATGGGAATGAAGAAACAGGGGGACAAAAGAGTTGTAACAGGGTATTTTCCTCAAAAAGGTGAGGCTGATTTCTGTTCTCCAAGAAATGTTTATTTATACCTTCTAAAGAAATTGGGTAAAGAGCACTTGGTGTTTGATCTCACAGTCTGGTTTCAGTGGTCTCTTCATGGAATATGCAAGGCCTGGCTTCCTGAGGTGCTGGAAAAATCAGCTATTCAATGCCACAAATGTGCACTTTACACTGGAATGTCCAACTAAAAGCATTTCTGAGAAACAGAAATTTTAGCATCTAACTGTAGAGGATATTTCAGAAGTATCTCTTCACACCACAGAGTTATGGGTCTTGTCCTTTCTACAGGATCAGGTTTGGTTCTCTATTTCTAAACATTTAATCACCAAACTTGGGTAATTCCATCGTCAGTTAGATTCCTGTTTTGGAGAGTTTTATGAATAATATGTTATTTTTTTAATTTTAAGGAAATACTTATGTAAATAATTAAATATCTACTTGAAAGTAAAACAAATCTATACATGTGAATCAAAGGCATTTGGTATTTGTAGTTTTTCCTTTTAATGCATATATTAACATAGTATGGATAACAGAACAGGAAAACTATCTTTACACTGCATGCTTTTCTTAAATCTGATTTTGTATTCTTAAATTATACTCAAAAGAGTACACATCTTGAGCAGCATTTGCAGCTAGATTTGTGACTTCTGGTTAAATAAAAATGAGTTTCAAAGGATCTGATCAGACTCTATATCTACTTTCATGACACAGCTTCACTGACTGATCCCTTTTGGACTGAAACAGTAGCGGCTCATTGAGTGTGAAAATGAGACTGAAGAGCAGAATCTTAACAAAATTCAAGGCAGTTCACGTTCAAGGGCATAAGATGTGTTCAGAGTTGTAATGTAAAATAAAACACTTTTATGCTGCTTTTAAAACTTCTAAAATTTTTACAATGGATTCATCTCATGTATGAAGTTGTTACATTCATGAAAATGTGAATTTCAATTCTTAATTATGGTTGAAGAATATATTTTTATACAAAAAAGATGTTTTATTTATTTGAAAACCATTCAAAAGGTGGAGATTGCAATTTGAGTACCTTAAGGAACATGTATGAATGAACAGTAGTAATAGCTGCTCATGCATAATAAAAGAACACATAAGGTTTAGAGTGGCTGAAAATGTATTTCCCGATTCTGATTAGAGTAATAAACAGTGTTACTCATATTGGATATGCCTTTTTATATTTTAATCTAACTGGGGAAATAATAAATGTAATACTTACTGCTTACACAACGCTTCACCTTCAAATTAAGATAATTTATAAATCATCTACATTTTGCTGCTATAGCAATGAGATCTCTCAGAGCTGCCTGCATTAGAAAGCCCTTTTTGCTTTTAGGTTATTCTCTTTTTTTTGGGGGGGGGAAAGAGGGGGGAGGTTGGGGAGGAGGAGCAGAATGGGTGTTGGAAAACAAATTGTTTTTCTGCTTCATCTCATACATTAATAATGATATCAGTGATAACCTAATTTTATTTTCACACAGTGAAATAACACTAACTCCACTGTTCAAATAATTAGAATTCAGCCTCTTTTTCCTGTATGCTGCCAGCTGAACAGTGCCTATCTCCTGATTTTTTTTGTGATTGTAATTTAATAAGCAATTTTACCACACAGCATAAGAGTCCCCTTGGAATTACAGTATTAGGTTCACATTGCTTAGCTTGTAGAACTGTTCAGAGATGAGCCCTTGAAATGAAATTTACCCCCTCAGCCACACCTACACACACGCTGGCTTTCCCTGCAGGACTGGCAACAGCACGGTTTGCCACACATTTAAAGGCAGGACGGGAACTCAGTGGTGCAGAACACCTCATTCTTTACCTCAGGCCATGCATGAAAGACAGTCAGTCTTCACAAAGTGCCATCTCTGAGCTCACACCACCAAAAGTGCTTATGATGTCTTGTGTGGTCACAGCTGTGGTTTTCTCACACCACCAAAAGTGCTTATGATGTCTTGTGTGGTCACAGCTGTGGTTTTCCAGTTTTTTTCCACAGTTTTTCTCTAGTTTGATTTTCTCCTATTCTACATGTCGGACATCTCTTTAAAACCAGGAGGCATTAACATTTCCTTTAATTAAAAATCTAACCAGATCTCCAAACTCCAGCTGATCCAGAACAATGTAGCTGGCAGCTACAGCCCATTATTCTACCACAAGTAGCTGGCAGCTACAGCCCATTATTCTACCACAAAAAAAAAAAAGTCAGGATGCGTCAGAAAGCTCAAAATGTGTGATGTGAAGAAACAAAGGAGGAAACCTTTTAGATGCCCAGAACTTGTGGCATGCTCTGGTAGCTGATTGAAGTGAGGAGAGGAAGCACTGAGAGCCTGAGGGACAAAACTGAAGGCAAGGTGTGTGTGAGCTCCTACTGCCTGTGCACAGACAGCAGCAAACCCCGCAGTGCATCAGGCTCAGTGTGCCCCAGGGGTGTGAAAAATGCCTGTTTCTGTGGAAAAGCCCATTCTGTATTTTCCTGGGATGACAGACACTTCAGAAAGACTGTCACAGCGCTGGCTGCAGTTCTCCTAAATGCCGAGGTGCAAACCCATCAGATCCAGACGCACAGGTATCTAGAACTGTCTAATTCTGGGAGAAAAGTGCTGAACTGTGTGCACCATTAGTCTGATCTGGCACAGGCATTGCTGTGCATCTGTCAGATACTGCCCCTGCATGTGCTGTGTCACTGAATTGTGCAATCACTTTCCAAAACACAGCCAGAGTACCTGTTTTACCTGTTTTTTCCTTTACCCCACTGACAGAAATGGGAAAAAAAGGACTTCAGAGTGAAGGCACAAGACACAAGTAATGAAAGAGATTAGTATTAAATATTGGACATAATTCATCATTCTATACAAAAACCTCCTGCCACTTTACTAGAGTGATGCTTTTATTTGATGCTCAAATTTTTCATCTGCAATGCCACAAATAGTCAGAATTTAACATCCTCAAATCATAATTTAGAACTATTCAGTACTATCAACAGTCTTCTGTTGTGCCTGTTGAAAAGTTTCTATTGAAGTATGAGAGAGACTACATGGAAAGATAACAAAACTGCTCTGCAAAAGCATTTCAGAATTTGTGCTCATTATGCCCAATTCCAGTTAGTTCTACCACTCTCATTTCCCTCAGAATTGAAATGAATAAACCCTCCTGATTTTCAAAAAGACTGAATTTGCTTTTAATCTCTGGGAAAATATTAATTTACTTTCAAATGTCCTGATTAACAATGCTGAAGTTAAATATGTGGGACTTGATTTTCCCCCTTAAGTTAGCTATTCAAATTTTCAGAACAAGTTA